CCCTATGGGGCCACGAAGCGCTGTCCTGCGTGGGGGAGACGCACGCTAACACCCCGCTTCTGGCCTTCGGTGGGGCTCCCTATGGGGCCACGAAATGCAGTCCTGGGCGGGGGAGACGCATGCGAACACCCTCAGTGGGGCCTTCGGTGGACCTCCCTATGGGGCCACGAAGCGCTGCCCTGTGTGGGGGAGACGCATGCGAACACCCCCACTGGGACTTTCGGTGGAGCTCCTTGTGGGGCCACGAAACGTTGTCCTGGGTGGGTGGGACGCATGCGAACGCCCCGATTGAAGCCTTCGATGAAGCCCCCCTGGGGCCGCGAGATATTGTCCTGGGTGTGAACACCCCGATTGTGGCCTTCGGTCAAGCTCACAATGGGGCCACGAAGCGCTGTCCTTGGTGGGGGGGGGACGCATGCGAACACCTCCAGTGGGGCCTTCGGTGGAGCTCCCTATGGGGCCACGAAACGCTGTCCTGGGTGGGGGGAGACGCATGCGAACACCCCGATTGTGGCCTTCGGTGGGGCTCCGTATGGGGCCACGAAGCGATGTCCTGGGTGGGGGAACCGCATGCGAACACCCTCAGTGGGGCCTTCGGTGAAGCTCCCTGTGGGGCCACGAAGCGCTGTCCTGGGCGGGGGAGACGTATGCGAACACCCCCACTGGGGCTTTCGGTGGGGCTCCCTATGGGGCCACGAAGCGCTGTCCTGCGTGGGGGAGACGCGCGCGAACACACCGCTTTTGGCTTCCGGTGGGGCTCCCTATGGGGCCACGAAATGCAGTCCTGGGTGGGGGAGACGCATGCGAACACCCTCAGTGGGGCCTTCGGTGAAGCTCACAATGAGACCTTGAAGCGCTGTCCCGGGCGGGGGGGACGCATGCGAACACCCCCAGTGGGGCCTTCGGTGGAGCTCCGTATGGGGCCACGAAATGTTGTCCTGGGTGGAGGAGACGCACGCGAACACCCCATTGAAGCGTTCGGTGGAGCTCCCTATGGTGCCACCAAACGCTGTCCTGGGTGGGGGAGACGCATGCGAACACCCCCACTGGGGCGTTCGGTGGACCTCCCTATGGGGCCACGAAGCGCTGTCCTGGGTGGGGGGAGACGCATGCGAACACCCCGATTGTGGCCTTCGGTGGGGCTCCCTATGGGGCCACGAAGCGCTGTCTTGGGTGGGGGGGGCGCATGCGAACACCCCCACTGTGGCGCTCGGTGGAGCTCCCCATGGGGCCACGAAGCGTTGTCCTGGTGGGGGGGACGCATGCGAACATCCCGATTGAAGCGTTCGGTGGAGCTCCCTATGGTGCCACCAAACGTTGTCTTGGGTGGGGGAGACGCAAGCGAACACCCCCAGTGGGGCCTTCGGTGGACCTCCCTATGGGGCCACGAAGCGCTGTCCTGCGTGGGGGAGACGCATGCGAACACCCCCGCTGGGGCCTTCGGTGGAGTTCCCTATGGGGCCACGGAACGTTGTCTTGGGTGGGGGAGACGCATGCGAACACCCCCACTGTGGCCTTATGTGGGGTTCCCAGTGGGGCCACGAAACGTGTGAGGGGTGTGACGACATGGGCGGTGGGGACGATGATGGTGACGATGATGTTGAGGATGATGCTGCAAATGGTGATGTTGATCGATGATGGTTGAGGGTGATGATGGGACGATGGTGTAGGGAAAGGGGGGATGATGATGATGGTGATGGTGATGGGAGGGGAGGAGGAGGGGGGAGGAGGAGGAGGAGGAGGAGGAAGGAGGACGAGGACGAGGACGAGGGGGAGGGGGAGGAGGAGGAGGAGGAGGAGGAGGAGGAGGAGGAGGAGGAGGAGGAGGAGGAGGAGGAGGAGGAGAGGAGAGGAACGCGGGGCGCTGTCTCTTCAAAACGAGGACCCAACACAACAGGATGGTTGGAAACATACGCACACACCATGCGTAACAAAAACGCCACATTATAGAGCACTGCGTCAAAACATCATTGCGTAAACTACACCGCGGGGGCAACAAACAACAACGACTAAACAACACGCCGTGGCAAAAACCATCGCACTAACGAGTTCAGTGTACGCCCAAGACTGCGCAACCAAAATTGCGTAACAAAAACACTGCGTACAAAGCCAACTGCGCAGAACACGCTGCGTACAAACCAAACCCTGCGTACAAAAAACATTGCGCACATAATCGCGCGAATGTATGATTATTCAGATTGCGTAAAAGGACAATACGGCATGAACACACTACGTAAGTAAACACTGCAGGGAAAAGCATCGCGGAACGAACAACACCTTGCGTAAACATAACACAGCGTAAACCAACCAACACTCGACTAAACACCGGTTTTTCTATATATATATTATATATATATATATATATATATATATATATATATATATATATATATAAAAATAAAAAAAAAAAATAAAAAAAAAAAAAAAAAAAAAAAAAAAAAAAAAAAAAAAAAACAAAAAAAAAAAAAAAAAAAAAAAAAACAAAAAAAAAAAAAAAAAAAAAAAAAAAAAAAAAAAAAAAAAAAAACGGAAATAATCCTGGCGAAGGACCTAACCATATGCAATTGTGAATAACGCTGTGTGGGTGCCGCTTTCGGTGGGGCTCCCTATAGGGCCACGAAAGGCGTGCCACGAAACGCTGTCCTGGACGTACGGGACGCATGAGGGCGGTAGCACTGAGGCCTTCGGTGGAGCTCCCTATGGGGCCACGAAACGTGTGAGGGGTGTGCCGAAATGGGCGCGGCGCCGCCATGCCAACGCAGCCACTGGGGCCTTCGGTGGAGCTCCCCCTATGGGGCCACGAAACGCGAGAGGGTTGTGCCGAATTGGGTGCGGCGCCGCCATGCCAACGCAACCACTGGGGCCTTCGGTGGAGCTCCCTGTGGGGCCACGAAGCGTGTGAGGGGTGTGCCGAAATGGGCGCGGCGCCGCCATGCCAACGCAGCCATTGGGGCCTTCGGTGGAGCTCCCTATGGGGCCACGAAGCGCGTGAGAGGTGTGCCGACATGGGTGCGGCGCCGCCATGCCAACGCAGCCACTGGGGCCTTCGGTGGAGCTCCCTATGGGGCCACGAAACGCGTGAGAGGTGTGCCGACATGGGTGCGGCGCCGCCATGCCAACGCAGCCACTGGGGCCTTCGGTGGAGCTCCCTATGGGGCCACGAAAGGTGTGAGGGGTGTGCCGAAATGGGTGCGGCGCCGCCTTGCCAACGCAGCCGCTGGGGCCTTCGGTGGAGTTCCTATGGGGCCACGAAAGGTGTGAGGGGTGTGCCGAAATGCGCGCGGCGCCGCCATGCCAACGCAGCCACTGGGGCCTTCGGTGGAGACTCCTATGTGGCCACGAAACGTGTAAGGGGTTTGCCGATATGGGTGCGGCGCCGCCATGCCAACGCAGCCACTGGGGCCTTCGGTGGAGCTCCCTTATGGGGCCACGAAACGTGTGAGGGGTGTGCTGAAGTGGGTGCGGCGCCGCCATGCCACGCAGCCACTGTGGCCTTTGGTGGGGCTCCCTATGGGGCCACGAAACGTGTGAGGGGTGTGCCAAATTGGTGGCGGCGCCGCCATGCCAACGCAGCCACTGGGGCCTTCGGTGGAGCTCTATGGGGCCACGAAAGGTGTGAGGGGTGTGCCGAAATGGGTGCGGCGCCGCCTTGCCAACGCAGCCACTGGGGCCTTCGGTGGAGCTCCCCCTATGGGGCCACGAAAGGTGTGAGGGGTGTGCCGACATGGGTGCGGCGCCGCCATGCCAACGCAACCACTGGGGCCTTCGGTGGAGCTCCCTATGGGGCCACGAAAGGTGTGAGGGGTGTGCCGGAATGGGCGCGGCGCCGCCATGCCAACGCAGCCACTGGGGCCTTCGGTGGAGCCTCCTATGTGGCCACGAAACGTGTGATGGGTGTGCCGAAATGGGTGCGGCGCCGCCATGCCAATGCAGCCACTGGGGCCTTCGGTGGGGCTCCCTATGGGACCACGAAACGTGTGAGGGGTGTGCCAAATTGGGTGCGGCGCCGCCATGCCAGCGCAGCCACTGTGGCCTTCGGTGGAGCTCCCTTATGGGGCCACGAAACGTGCGAGGGTTGAGCCAAATTGGGTGCGGCGCCGCCTTGCCAACGCAGCCACTGGGGCCTTCGGTGGAGCTCCCCATGGGGCCACGAAGCGTGTGAGGGGCGTGCCGACATGGGCGCGGCGCCGCCATGCCAACGCAGCCACTGGGGCTTTCGGTGGAGCTCCCCAAACGTGTGAGGGGTGTGCCGAAATGGGTGCGGCGCCGCCATGCCAACGCAGCCACTGGGGCCTTCGGTGGAGCTCCCTATGGGGCCACGAAACGTGCGAGGGGTGTGCCGTGATAGTTTGAGGAGGGAGGAGGGAGGGGGGAGGAGGCGGAGGAGGAGGAAGGAAGGAGAGGAGACGCGGGGCACCGTCTCTTCAAAACGAGGACCCAACACCACAGGATGGTTGGGAATTAACACAGCGCAGGAAAGAAGGAAACAAACAAAACAGCATTACACACCCGCGCGCCACTCACAACGGAAAAAACAACGGCGCAACAAAAATGCACGGCGTGTTGTGCTGTTCTTTATGTAAAGAACGTGACAACGAAACAACGGCGTAACACAAATCACGAGTAAACACAACAATGTGTCAACACAAGAGACAGCGTAACATAATTGTGCATACAAACACACTGCGTAGAAACACTGCGCGAAAACAAAATAACACTGCGTAAAAAAACACTGCGTAACAAAAATGCAGCGCGCAAACAAACAACGCGAGCAAAAGCATTGCGTGACAAAAGGCACTGCGTTGACAAAAAAAAGCTGCATAACAAAAATCACTGCGTGCAAAAACTGCGTTGAAAAAGCTGCTCAAACGGATTCAGTTCACGCTTAAGGTCAACTCTCGGAATCCCCCCCCTGGAAGTCCCGACCCTCTCCGCGGGACCGGTTTTCATCCTGAGGCGTCGCTTGACGGTCCCAAGACCCGGCGAGGGCCCCTCGAGGCCGAACTTTGCCCAAACCTTCGCGTCCTGATTTTGTAATGACGCGATGATGTCTGGGAGACCCCCACCCGATGTTACCCTCGCCCTGGCTTCGACTGAACTACAAGAGGCCCCGGCAAGGGACGGGCGGCAGGCGCGCGGCGCGGCTTTTTGTTCTTGGGCGCGCCCGATGGCGAGGAGGCAGCTGCTGGCCCTCGTGCTCCAGCTCGCCGCCGTGGGCCAGGCGCGTGCGGTGGCAAGTCGTGGGGGCCTCTGTGCGCAGCGGGGGCGCACGTCAAGAGACCAGCTGCTCTTCGTCAGGGTACCCCTGGGTGCCTCCGCTCCGCGCGCCGCGCGGTGGCTTCCCGCGGCCGCTGCAGAAGTTTGCGTTCAGGGTGCTCCAGGTTCCCCCCCCCCGTGTGCATCTCGCGCGCGGGGTTTCAGGATTGGGTTTCTTGCGAGGGTTTCCTGTGGCCGCGTCCGCACTGTACCCTCGCAGCTCTGTCTTTAGCGTCGATTAGCGTCGATTAGCGTCTGGGAGTCGACGAGATAGCGCCGATGTAGCGTCGATTAGCGTCGATGTAGCGTCGGCTAGCGTCGATTTAGCGTCGAGCAGCGTCGATTCGCAAGAGCCGACGAGATGGTATGGGAGGCCCCCGTGAGTTGCCACCGAAGGCGCGCCCGACATTGGAGGCCTCCGTGCAGGCCGAGGACTCGACCCAGTCAGGGACAACGTTCGGGGGGGTGGGTTCTCAGGGGGAGGCGAACTTCGCCTCCCCCTGAGAAACCTCCCCCCTCGGGCCTCGAACCTCGAGACTTCGCCTGGCGAAGTCTCGAGGCTCGAGGCCCGAGGATGTTGTTCGTGTTCGTGTTCGTCCGTTCTGGGCGCTTCCCCAGCCTCGGGATGCCTTCGAGCAGCTGCGCCTCGCCGGGAGCGTGCCAGGGGTGCCCGGATCCTCCCGAACGTCAAGCAGTGGCGAAGCGTCCCGGCTTGCCTATAGGCCTGCCAAACAACGTTCTAAGAACCTCCTGTGGTTTCCACCAAAAGTTCTCAGAGCATTTCTGGCTGGTAGTGTCTTGTCTCGTCACCTCGGGCGTATGTTCTGAGAACATTATGTGTTGGTTCTTCGGATACTGTTTGGTGTTCTGAGAACAGTTCGTGGTAGGACCATAGGAATGCCGGGACGGCCGGTCCCTGCTCAAGAACGGCGTCTGGAAAGCCAGCAGGGAATACAGTCGAGGCGCTGAAGAAGGAACCATTTTCGTTGGGGAGGGGCTCGGTGTTCCTTGATTGTTTCACAGCTTGCCTCAGGTTTTCCTTATGTTTTCGATGGGAAATCGAAGTTTAACTTGTGGACAAAAAGGGGCCTCGTTCCTTATTTAGGGTTCCTTAGGTCAACGCCCCGACAGTAGGATCCGGGGGGGAAGGCGGAAGGCATCGTCCCCGAGCCGCCCGCGCATCGCCGAGAGGTGCCCGACAGCCCGCCCTGCCCAGCAGCGTGCGGACTCACCTCTGAGGAGGAGGAGGAGGAGCAGGAGGAGGAGGAGCAGGAGGAGGAGGATGGGGGTCTGTCGCGGATCGGATCTATCGGCGATGTATCGCCGACGCTCCAAGAAGAACGGAGCACATAAGCATAAATTTCTGGCGCTCCGCGCGGATTTCTTGGACCCGCGTTGGGACCCCCTGGCGGTGCCTCGGACGCCGCCCATGGCGCGCTCCGCGCGCCAGGGAGGGGGTCCTAACGCGGATCCAAGAAATCCGCGTGGGGCGCCAACAGTTCATGCTTATGTTTTTGTTATTCTTCTTCTTCTTCTTCTTCTAGGTACAGGTCGAGGTTCCCGCCGACTGGGGACGAAGACCGACAGCACTTCCTGTCCATGGCGAGCTGGACTCGCTGTGCACGTGCCGCCGCGGACGGCGGCCCACCTGCGGCAAAGAAATCGCCTGCCCAGCAGCGGCCGCTCCTGGTTGTCGGCAGTCCTTGCTGTCAGGCATCGTACCCGTTTTGGTCCGCATCATCTCGGACGGCCGGTTACTGTCGGCGCTCGGGGGTCTTCCGTTCTCGGGATGCGGTCCTGCCACTGCGCCTCGCCGAGAGCATTCCGGGGGTGCCCGAATCGCCCCGGCGCGGCCGACAGACACCTGAGCTACGACCCGAAAGCCAGACGACCGAGCCTTTGCTGCAGTGACCTCTGGTGCGCGGCTTTCGTGGAGGGGGGCGGGCGGGGAGGCCGATCCCGAGAACACAGGTAGCTTCCCAAGAGATCCGATGTACCGTCGTCTCAACACGTGACCGCCAGGCCTCTCGACCCCTTCCCCAGGACCCGCGCTCTTCGTCATGGGCCGTTTCTGTTACGGTCTCGGGGCCCGTTGAGGGCCGCAAGAGGCCGAACATGTAGGAAATAGACGGTGTCCAGATGATTGTCAACACGTTCGAGGCTTATTAGGATCGTCGCGGGATTTGCCAAGGATATGGGTTATCGGTGGATGCCAAGGTTGGCTGTATCTTTCCTAACATACTTAGCTTATCAGTGGGTCACAAATCCCCCAAGGGGCGTCAGGGGTTCACGATCCTGGCTATAAGTGAACTCTGCGAACAATGGGCAGTCATACCACACCTTGGCATCCACTGGTGACGCCCCTGTCCCCTTCGCAGCCCCCGCGCCGATCCCAGTGGCCGCCGGGCCTTAACTCATGTCTCCGGCGGTTGTTCGGGGCGTCGCGATCTGGGCACCTCCGGAACGCCCTCCACGAGGCGCCGTTGCCGGACGGCTTCCCGAGGGGAGAAGCTTCCAGCGACGACCTGCGACGACTTCTGGAGCCCTGTCCCCTCAGCAGCCCACCGCCCACCACCCCCCTCCTCCTCCTCCTCCTCCTCCTCCTCCTCCTCCTCCTCCTCCTCTTCCTCCTCCTCCTCCTCCTCCTCCTCCTCCTCCTCCTCCTCCTCCTGCCTCCGTAGCCATTTTGGCTCAAGATGTTTTTGTCCCTCGGGAAGAGAACGGATACCTCTAGTCCGAGGTTAGCTCCCGATTCAGGCAACCACAGTCGAGCTGCGCGCTGCTGGGGCCAAGAGTATACATCCGCGTGCACAAACCTGCACTCTCCCCAGCGGCCACGTGTGCAGTGGCATGGCAGATGGCAGTTCGGGGTTCTCGCAGCTCACATATCAGGAGATTTGCATCCTCGAGTCCCAGGAGGACTGCCCCCCGCCACCTGCTGGGAGTGACGCTCGTCGTGCTGGCAGCAGCGCTGAGTCCTCCCGCAGCTCGGACGGCCGCAGTACATCGCGCAGTGAGCAGAGGCGCAGAGACGCTCGGAGGAGGAGACAGCTCCAGCGGGCACGTGGGGAGGATGATCGGGACCCTCGACGCACTGAAGGCGGACGCGGGCGACGACCCGACGGCGGAGCGGCAGCTGCTGGTGTGGCCGCGACCGAGACTCAGACGGCACCAGCATAAGCGGCACCTCACGATGCATTGGCAGCCGCAGCCTCGCGCAGCTTTAGGCCTGCCGCCACAACATCGGGGCCAACCACCTGTGTCGGGAAGCAGGAGATTTCGAGCATGCTGGCCAACATGGAGCGGCTACTGGGAGAACAACTGCAGACCAACACGCGCAACCTCTCGGACATCTTCCAACAGTCCCAGCTGGAGTTTGCCCAGGTGGTGGACAAGAGGCTCGGCAAGGCGGACGAGCGCCTGGGGCAGATGGAAGATAGGATGCGCGAATTTGCCGCGCTGCGCCAGGAGATGGACGACCTCAGAGCGGAGATGGGGGTGGTCGCGTCAGCGACCCCCAAGGCACTACCGTCTGCGACGGGGTGGTCTCGCACTGTGGACACCACGATCTTGGCGATCACGGCGAGGGCCAATGTCCCGAAGAGCGCGGTGGCGGACGCGCTGCAGCAGCGGGTGGTCGACGCGGACCTTGCGACGGTCCAGCCTGAAGCCACGCGTCTCGAGGGGGAGGAGATCGGCCACCACTTCAAGCTGCGCTGCCTGGGAACGACGGCACTTGCCGAGCGCCGCTGCGGCAAACTTCTGGAGCTCCTGCGCACTGGCCCGTCCTCGTGGCGCGAGTTCGCAGCGGTGCTCCCGAACGGCGGCAGAGTCCATCTCAATGTGGGCAAGGACCGCAATCAGTCCCAGATATCGCACGAGATCCAACTCAAGCGCCTTCGCGCTGAGCTGCAAGAGCACATCGCGGACCGTCTCTTCGTGGACAAGGACTCGTTCACCATTACGGTCAAGTGGAGGCAGCTTGTTCGCCTCTCCATCCCTGCGCCAGGCGCGCAGCCGCAAGTCTCGTGGAACTTGGCGGCGGTGCGCTCGATTGGCCAGACGGAGCAGGCCCTGCAGATCATGACAGACCGCGCGCTGGACCCCGAGGCCCAGCAGTGGACTCTTTGACCGACTGGCTCGTGCATGGGGTGGCCAGGGCGATGGTATCCACCTCGGCACCTGGAACTGCAGGGCACTCAAGCAGACGGGAAAGAACGGCATGCGCAAGGTCAAGAAGAAACTCAAGTACCTCCAACGCTATTGGAAGAGTCCAATGATATTGGTGCTACAAGAGACTCGCGCCTCCTCGGCCTGCATGGAAGTGCTTCTCGGGAGGCTGGGGAGAACGTTTCACTGCTTCACCTCGTGCATTGCAGGAGGCAGAGAAGACGCGGGAGGTGTAGCGACGGTAGTGCCTGGCACGAGCGACGGCTACACCTGCAATTTTGTTCCAGATGATCTTGCCCCTGGGCGCATCTTACGACATCTCGGCACTGTTCTCTCAGAGCACCCGATGCCGAATGAGACTCCCATCAGTTTTGTCCATTGGAATGTACACAACCATGATATTTCCCCAGAGCAGCGGAGGCGAGTGGCAGCGAGTATTCGGCGTGATCTGGCATGGGCTCATGAAGCCCCTGATTGCCGCACAGTGTTCATAGTTGGCGACTTCAACTTCGGCGACTACGACGAGGTGGATTCCTTCGTGCTGGACCAGCAGGACCCCATGCAGCAGGGGCCCGGAGCTGGGCAGATTCACCCCGCCCAGTCGCTGGCGCCTTCGGGGTCGCAAGCGGCCCGTCTCGCACGGCATCCTGGCCAGCGCCAATGGCTCGACGCGATGAGAGGAGCCGCTGAGCTGATGTCGGGCAAGCCCACCCACTGGAATGCGAGCACCAGAACCAGCACCACCATTGACAGGATCTCCGTGGGACTCCCGCGCTGGGTTCCCTGCCAAGGCCGGCAGTCCTGCCAGGTACGCGGCGAAGCTAGAGAACTGCACATCCGTGGGGTTAGCGATCACTCGCTAGTGGTGGCCTCGCTACTGAGACGCCCCCGCCCTCCGCGGGACCCTGACATGCCATCTGCCATCCCGCGGGACATCGTCACGAGGCCCCGCTTTAAGGAGATCATACAGAGCTACTTGGAGGTGGTGCCGCTGCAGCACCCGTCGCCCCCTGACGAATACAAGTTCTACACTAGAATCCCGCAGGCCGCCGCCAAAAACGCCCAACAGGAGCCCCTCGTGACGGAGGGCTGGTCCAAGGGGTCCTCAGCCATCATCTGGCGCCAGCTGGCTCGGGCCTACTGGAGGCAGAACTGGCGTCTGGCTCAGCTGGTGCTCTCCCACAATGAATGGGCGCGAGACCTGATGCGGGTCGACGCGGAAGCCAGAGCAGCGCAGATCACCGACTACCCCGAGTTCCAGCGGAGGCACAACATCTCGCAGAAGAAGGAAGCGGCCAGTCTGATGAGGAAGCTGGAGGAGGACACCCAGCAGGAGACCGACGAGAGCAGGGAGATGCAGCTGAGTGCCCAGCTTCGCGCTCTCCGCAGGAGGGCTCGTCTGCGGGCACCTGTCAGCGCACGTCGATACCTCGCAGCGCTGGAGGTGGATGGCGCCGAGCTTGCGGAGGCATCGGGCATCCGCGACGCGCTGGGCAAGCACTGGGGCAAGGTGTTCAGCCCAGTGGAAGAGCTCCGCGAGTCCAACAGCGAGCGCACGGCCAAGCTCCAGGTTCGGTACCTCGGGCGTTTTGGGGCCCCGCGGGCGGACTGGGACGAGCTGCCTGCGCCGAGGCTGGCGGATGTCCACCTGGCCCTGCGGCGAGCCAGACCTGCTACGCCTGGGCCCGACGGGCCCCCTGCGGCGGCCTGGCTGGCACAGCCCTCTGGGCCCGCGGTGCTTAACCGCGCGCCGCAGTGGATGCTGGATGGCATGTGCACGCGCACGGACTACAACTACGCGATCGGCATCTTCCTGTCCAAGGGCTCGCTGCCTTCTGACCTGCATGCGGTCTCGCGCGCCCCTGGCGACGCGCGCCCGCTCTCCCTTCGCAGCACAGGCGCGAAGGCCACCAGCTCGGCAACGAACTGGCCTATCAAGAGAGCGGTGCAAAAAGTCATCGCACCGAGCCAGAGAGGATTCATCTGCGGCCGACACTTTGTCGAGAATCTGATTGAATTAGACAGCTTCGCTGGGATTGGTAGCATGCAGGCTTTAGACCATCCGTCTCCTGATCGCCCCCGTCCTCTCCTTCTCGCGTTTGATTACGCCCGCGCGTTCCCCTCTGTCTCCCACTCGTGGATATGGAAGGTCTTGTCTGCTCGGGGTGCTCCAGAGGCCCTTGTTGCTGCGGTTCGCGCCAACTACAGTCGCGCGGCCACCCTCTGTGCTGACCCGCCTCGGGCATTTATGTTCTGGGTCATCGTAGGAGTCTTGCACGGCGACCCCCTGTCGGGAAGCCTCTTTGTCTTAGCGGTGCTTCCCTTTTGTAGTGGCCTAGAGCGCACTCTCGAGGCCGCTCTGAAGGGGATCGGGAGGTGGCGCGCGGACGACGCGGGGGCAGTGGTGCGGGGGGGGCCTGGCCTGAGAGTTCTAGCGCGAGTGTTTCGAATTTCCAGACGCCGTGCCCGACTGGGACTGAAACCCGCGAAGTGCGCTGCCACCCCGCTCTGGGCCCCGTGGTCTGAGGAGCTCTGTGACCCACCTCTGAGCTTCTTGGAGCGGCGTGCCCTGAATGGCGGGCGCTTAAGGTTGAGGCGTCCCTGGAATATCTGAGATGCACGGTCGGCCCTGCAGCTTCTCTCGAGCAGCAGTGAGCAGCCCCCACGGCCAAATTCGAAGCCAGAGTCAAAGATGTCGCCCGCTCGCATGCTGATGCCCACTCGTCGGTGATCCTTTACCACGAGCGCGCTCTGAGCGTTCTATCGCACAAGTCTCAGCTGTTTCACCCTTCCAAGCACCTTCGCAGAAGGGAGAAAGACATCCTCACGCGTGTCTTTCGAGCCCCTGGATCCTGGCTCTCCTCTGCCTGCTTCCATGACCTCCCCTCCCTCGGCGGGCCCAGGGTCCAAGGCCTTCGAAGCAACGCGCTGGCTGCTTTGATGAGGATTGGCATCCAATTCAGAGAACGCCGTGCTCGCATGCGCCAGCGCCTCGAGGATGCAGCTTGGGAGCGCATGCACGCAGGACGGGCCTGCTGGAGGGGGCCCACGGGTGCCAAGGAGCTGTGTCCTTGGCCCGCATTCTGGCGGGAGCCGGCGGTGGCGTGGTCCCTGCGGGAGGCGGCGGAAGCTCGGGGCTCTCTGGGGCGCGACCGCGCGGCGGCCCTTGCTGGGCCGAGGTCCCTGGAGGCCGAGCGCAGGACGGCGCTAGAACGCTCAGCACCGCAGAGGTCTGAACGCTCTATCCCCGAGCTGACGGGCGCCCGTGGTGCTGTGGCAGGTCTTCGGTTTAAAGCGCAGCGTGCCCTTAATCGTGGTATTCTCCCCGTCCTCTACTTGTCGTCCTTCTCCCTCCTCCCCCTCATTCACAAGCAACTCTTTACATGGTTCGGGATTGCCCCCGGGTTTTCGCACACGTTCCCTTGGTCGGAGGTGCGAGGTGTCCTCGAGATGTCCCCCCCGTCTTGGCGCCTCGCGGCACCCCGCACTTGGACTGGGGGATGGGTCACGGACGCCCGACTTCGAAATGTCGATCGAGGCTGCCTGCTCGGCTGCGACTGCCGATATAGCCTATCACATTATATCCAATGCTTCTCCTTCCACTGGCTTGTCGCCATGGTTTCTTGCCCTCGCCTTGGTCCCCCGCCTGCTCCCGAGCCCGTCCCTGCCCGTCTTGCCCTCTTACCGCGCGCCCCTTCCCATCTCAGGAGGCTGGCGATATTCTTCCATCTGCATCGCCTCTTGCACGCGCGCAGCAGGCGAATTACACATCACCCAGCGCCACAGGAGGTGATTCAAATAGCCCAGGCCGCCCGCCTTGCCACGGACCTCGCAGTGGGGTCGTGGCGGCGGCGCGTGCGAGGGCATACGTAAGGAGAGACTTTCCCTCGGCGACGTTCCGCCTCCTCCTCCTCCTCCTCCTGCCCCTCCTCCTCCTCCTCCTCCTCCTCCTCCTCCTCCTCCTCCTCCTCCTCCTCCTCCTCCTCTTCCTCCTCCTCCTCCTCACCATCCTCCTCCCCTCCTCCTCCTCCTCCTCCTCCTCCTCCTCTTCCTCCTCCTCCTCCTCCTCGAGTCAGCCCTGGCAACCCACGACCGAGCGCGGGTCCAGCTGCCAGGGGGTTATCAAGAATACAGAAAAGCGCGGGCGAGCCACGATCAGCCGTGCCGGGAGCCGTCCGTGCCAGGCGAAAACGTGCGGGCCAACGACATCAGCTACAGAGTTGAGACCAGTTCGCGCGGGAGACGCCACACAAAAAAACGGGCAGCGGCAGGAAACCTCAATGCGAGAAGCGGGGGGCGAAGCTGGAGTCCGCCACACCAACCCCTCCCTCGGCGAGCAGCGGCAGCAGGCGATGCCGCGGCACCAAGCGAGAGGGAAGACGAAGGTCGAGCCCAACGTCATCAGCTACGAGGCCCGACAGGCGAAGGTTGAGCCCGACGCGGGGGCCGACCCAAATACCGACGCCGAAGCGGAAGGCGAAGGTAGAGCCCGACGCGTTCAGCTACAATGCCGGCCGGGACCGAGGGCAATGTGCGAGAAGTGGGAAGGCGAAGTTGGAACCCGACGCCATCCGCCTGGAGCCACTGTGCGAGCAGCGTGCGAAAAGCGGGAGGCAACGCGGGACAACGAGCGGCGCAGGAAGAAGGCGAAGGACGAGCCCGACGCCATCAGCTACACCCGACGCGACGTAGCAGCAGCAGCAGCAGCAGCAGCAGCAGCAGCAGCAGCAGGAGGAGGAGGAGGAGGAGGAGGAGGAGGAGGGGGAGGGGAGGAGGAGGAGGAGGAGGAGGAGGAGGAGGAGGAGGAGGAGGAGGAGGAGGAGGAGGGGGGGGAGGAGGAGGAGGAGGAGCAGGAGGAGGAGGAGGAGAGGGAGGAGGAGGAGGAGGAGGAGGAGGCATGAGGATGAGGAAGCGGAGGAGGAGGAGGAGGAGCAGCAGGAGGAGGAGGAGGAGGGAGGGAGGAGGAAGAGGAAGAGGAGGAGGAGGAGGAGGAGGAGGAGGAGGAGGAAAAGGAGGAGGAGGAGGACGAACAGGAGGAGGAGGAGGAGGAGGAGCTGGAGGAGGAGGAGAGGAGGAGGAGGAGGAGGAGGAGGAGGAGGAGGAGGAGGAGGAGGAGGAGGAGGAGGAGGAGGAGGAGGGGGAGGAGGCGGAGGAGGAGGAGGGGGAGGAGAGGAGGAGGAGGAGGGAGGAGGAGGAGGAGGGAGGAGAGGAGGAGGAGGAGGAGGAGGAGGAGGAGGAGGAGGAGGAGGAGGAGGGAGGAGGAGGAGGAGGTGGAGGGGAGGAGGAGGAGGAGAAGGAGCCGGGGGAGGAGAAGGAACAGGGGGAGGAGGGAGGAGGAGGAGGAGGAGGAGGAGGAGGAGGAGGAGGAGGAGGAGGAAAGGGAGAAGGAGTCCCGATGCCCCTTCGTCCTTGTTGGCCTCCAGGGCCTCTTGGCGGGCCCTCGCCGCCACGGCGGGAGTCGTCTCTCGGAGTCCTGGCCAGCTCGAGCCCCAGGCGAGTGGTCCAGGAAGTATAGCGTTAAGTCGTGCGTGCCCCTCTACAGGAGGACTGTTCAAACAGAGTCAGCAAATAGTCAGGGGATGGTTTTTCCACAATTCATTAACTATGCTTGAGACTTGTTTGGTTATTCTATTTAAAAAATCGCCCGACATCCGCCTGTAGGGCCCGGCCCACGTATAGCGGCATCGATCGTGTCCTCTTTGCTTCCCCAGGCCCGCCGGCTCGAGGAGGAGGAGGGCGAGGAGGCGGAGAGCCAATCCTGGAAGGGCACAGAAAGCGGCACAAGCGTGAATGTTCGGAGACGGCCCGCGCGGAGCTCCGAGGGTTCATGGCTGTGCTGTTTCTCTGTTCTTCTGGCTTCGGGGGCACGTGGGACTCGAGCCTGCCGGGTATTCGGGGGCACGCCGCCGTTGTGTGGCGTGGCGCGCGCGGGTTTTGAGGGCGCAGCTTCTGTGAGACGATTGCAGCTAGAGCTTGCGCCAATTCTCAGACCATGTCCCGTCATTTTTCCGACGCCCCCCTCCTCCCTTCTCTTCCTATCCTTCTCCCTCCTCCTCCTCCTCCTCCTCCTCCTCCTCCTCCTCCTCCTCCTCCTCCTCCTCCCCCTCTTTCTTCTTCTCTACCCTCCTTCCTCCCCCTTGTCGTGCAAACTCTGGCCCCCAAAAATCGCATCAAGGCCTCCCTTCTCGCTCGTGACAGGCCAATGACTCAACGCACCCGTGGGACGATCGTTGCGTGTTCGCGTCGCTGTGTCTGTCCCCTTGGCTCACCTCTGCCTCCCACCAGCAGGTCGCGCTGTGGGGAAGCAAACGAACAAAGAATGCCCCCCCGCCCCGCAGCTCGAGCCCCACGCCCCCCAACACATCCACGGTGCTGCTGGTCGGGCTCGTGTCCGCGGCCGCCCTGGGGCGGTACCTCTACCGGAGGTGCCGCGGGACCGAGGAGGAGCCAGAAAGGCAGAGGTCGTACTTCCTGCAGGTGCAAGCCTGAGTTGGCGCTGCGGCCCGCACTCGCCAGCGCGCCCGCTCCTCCTCTCCGCTGCCTCCCTCTTCCCGCTCCCTCCAGCATGCAGGCCACCCGTCCGAGTCTGGTCAGGCTCAGGGTTGCGCACAGGCGGCACCCCCGGGTAGCCCCGGCTGGCCCCAACAGGCCCCCCGAGTAGTCCCAGCTGTCTTCAACGGGCCCCCCGAGCCCTGGGCGATCTCAACACCCCAACCCTGATGCGCGGTGCGACCCAGATACGGCGCCGGAGACGGCGCCAAGGTGTTGAGACCGCCCCTGGCTGCCCGGTGGGCCCTTTGAGGTCAGCCGGGGCTATTCGGGGGGCCTGCTGAGGCCAGCCTGGGTGGGGGGGGCTGCCTGTGAAAAACCCGAAGCCTCCCATCCGAGCCTTCCCCCCCCCGTCCTCCCAACGCGTCTTCTCTGTGGGGAGGGCAGCTCTTACAGTCAACCCGCACTGTAAGGATGAGCGAGCTTCCAAATGGTACCCTTGCATCCTTGCCTCCTCGGTCCAGCCTTGGCGACTCTCGTCGGCCGCGCCCCGCTCGAGAAGCTTCGAAATGAGCGTCCAAGGCCCTTGCATCCGTATCGTCAGGGGCAGCCTGACCTGACCGACCCCTAGCAGACCATCCCCCTTCGTGACGCCTCCCTCGCCTCGCCTCAAGAGGCATGTCTGCGGCCGGAAGGCGGCTTGAAGGGCGAGGATGACGCCACAGAAGGCGATGGTTTGCTGGGGGTCGGTTAGGCCGCGCCCGATACCGCGCATCCTTGTGATGCGGGCCGGCTGCACTGCGCAGCTGCGGCCCCGCGGCAGTGGGCCGTGCTCTGCCGGGCTCGGCAGAGCAGGCGCCGCCCATGGGGCAGAGGCCTCCACGCTCGGCGGCGCGCGCGCGCGAGGGGTTGGGCGCAAGGGGTGCGGCTGGCCAAGGTTCGGGCCGGACGAAAGGGGGGGATTGAAAAAGGAGGTGCGAAATTTGCTGCATGCAGCTGGTTTCGGCCTCAGGCCATTCCTCGATACATAGCCGCCTCCGGCGCCGGGAGGCGCCGGGAAAATCAGCTACGTGAGCTGATTCTCAAACCCCTCCTTTGCTATCCCCCCCCTTTCGCCCGACCCGAACGGTGGGGGTGGAGCTGCCAAGGATGCACGGGGGGCTTGGCGCTCTTCTTGGCACGGCTCGGGCGAGGGCACCGTGCACTCTTCCCCTGCGAGGGCCATCGCGGAGCAGTGTGGGCCAGCTGGGGAGGAGTGCACCCGTGGACACGCGAACGGCGACGTTGGCAGCGGCGATGCAGGCCTCGGTGTTTCTGCACGAACGAGATGGGCACGGAAAGAATGGGTACGATGCCCAACAGAAGTTCCTGTTCATTTTGAACAGGGCTCGCTGTCCGCGCCGCTGCGGCCTGTGTCCATCTGAGACAGAAGGCCGCCTGCCCAACAGCGGCCGTTGTTGGTGTTGGTTTGGGACAACATTTGTTGTTCGGCATTGTGCCCATGTTTTCCGTACCCATTTCGGGCGTCCAAGGTGTTGCAGGTGGGGTTGATCTGTGGCCAGCCCGATTGCAGGGAGCGCGTGGCTCGTGCTCTCCTAACAACCCGCCGCGCCGCGTTCGCTCGATACTCCAGCATGTGGTTCCGTGGTGCGGGGCTCGGTTTCCTGCAACCTGTTCTGTGCGAGGTCGGCCTCACAAGAACCGGATTCCCGGCATCGCCGTTAAAGGACATCGCCGTCAGCGTGGCCTTGGCACCCGCGTGACCCCGCAAGCTGCACCGGGGAGAGCGGGGGCGTCCGAGCGATAGGTGATGTGCAAGTGCGGCGTCGCGAAAACCAGATTCCCAGCATCGCCGTTAACCGACATCGCCGTCAGCGTGGCCTTGGCACCCGCGCGACCCCGCAAGCTGCACCATGGAGAGCGGGGGCGTCCGAGCCGCTCGGGCGGGTGGTAATGGGGGGGGGACTTGAATGGGGGATGAAGAACACGACCCTGAAAGAGCCCTCTAGGGCCCCTTTCGGGAACCAGCAGGGGCCCAAAAGGGGGCCTCAACTGCCTCTTTGGGGTTCTTCTCTTGAGCCCCCATTTAGGTCCCCCCCCATTACCACCCGCCCGCGGCCTTCGTGGGGGAGACGCATGCGAACACCGCCACTTGGGCCTTCGGTGGAGCTGCCCATGCGGCAACGAAATCCTGTACTGGGTGGGAGAGACGCATGCGAAGACGCCACTGCGGGCTTCGGTGGAGCACCCTTATGGGGCCACGAGACGGTGCACTGGGTGGGAGAGACGCATGCGAACACCGCCACTGGGACCTTCGGTGGAGCTCCCTATGGGGCCACGAAACGCTTGAGGGGTGTGCCGGAATGGTTGCGTTGTGCGAATGGCAGAGGCAAATATTGGAGGAGAGGAGAGGAGAGGAGGAAGGATGAGAGGGGAGGAGACGCAGGGCGCTGTCTTTTCAAAGCGAAGATCCAACACCACGACAGGCTGGTTGGGAACAAGGCTTCGTTGCTTGCCACAAGCTCAACCTGGGGCGTCGCCTGAGGATCGGCGCGGCCAGTCCACCAAGCGTGGGGGGAAATTAGGAGGAGGAGGAGAAGAAGGAGGAAGAGGAGGAGGAGGAGGACCATCGCACGGACTCGGAAAGGGTTCGACTTCACTAGGGCGACTCGGGCGTTTTGGCATCGGCAGCCTGTTGGGCTACCTGTTCAGTTGGGACCTGGGGCTTGAAAGCCACTGGGCTGTTCTTCCCAGCCTTGGGGCGCTCATGGGCACCTCCTCGCAAGCGTGGAAACATACCTCCTGGGGCAACGCTGATGGCGGGCCCTGAGGGTACACTCTGAATACGTTCCGCACCCTGAACATGCAACTACGAGACTCTGATCAGCGATTCGACCGGAAACTTGCAACTTGCAGCCGCTGGGCATGACCGCCAGCTTGGCCAGGGCGGAAGCATTACCTGGGCAGGGCTCCTTGGTTCTGTCTTGCTTGGACTTATCATTGAGACATCGCGAGTGGCAGAGACAGCAGAGCCAACGATTCTTGCGCCAGGTCCAGACGTGCCCGACACTGGCACGAGTAACAACGGGGCTCGAAATCGCCACCCTCGGGTTAACTTTGCCTTGCCACGCTTCCGCGAAGAGGAGGAGGAGGAGGAGGAGGAGGAGGAGGAGAAGGAGGAGGAGGAGGGGGATGAGGAGGGAGGAGGAGGAGGAGGAGGTAGAGGAGGGGGGGGGGAAAGGTGGAGGGGGGGGTGAGTCCGAACGCCGTAGGGCCAAAGGTAACAGGCAACATGTAGCAGGTAATAGGGAGGGGAGGAGGAGGAGGAGGAGGAGGGGAGGAGGAGGAGGAGGAGGAGCGGAGGAGGAGGAGGAGGAAGAGGAGGAGGAGGAGGAGAGGAGGGAGGAGGGGGAGAAAGGGGAGGAGGAGGGAGGGAGGAAAGAGGAAAAAAGAGGAGGAGGAGGAGGAGGAGGAGGAGGAGGAGGGGAGGAGGAGGAGGAGGGGGAGGGCAAGGACCTGGAGGAGGGAGCAGCGAGACTCAAGTGCCTTTCGTTTGAGTGTTTGGACGAAATGGAACAGAAGCGGAGTGAGGAGGAGGAGGAGAGAGGAGGAGGAGGAGGAGGAGGAGAAGGATGAGGGAGGAGGGGAAGGAGCCGAGGGAGGGAAGGAGGGGCCCTCCGCCCTCCGCGCGGGCCGGCCCCGTGGAGGCTCGCGTGGAGGGCGCGGGCGAGGGTCCGCTCGGCATTCGGTACCGCAGCTACCGGGCGAACGCGCCCATACTGCTCGGCCTGGTCCACACGCGCAGCCGCCTCCTCCTCCTCCTCGTTCTCCTCCTCCTCCTCCTCCTCCTCCTCGTCCCTTGCCCCCCCACGGTACCTCCTCCCCCTCCTCCCTCCTCCTCCTCCTCTCTCTTTCTCCTCCCTCCTCCTTCCCCCTTTCTCCCCCCTCCCTTCCTCCTCCCTCCTCCTCCTCCTCCTCCTCCTCCTTCCTCCTCCTCCTCCTCCTCCTCCTCCTCCTCCTCCTCCTCCTCCTCCTCCTCCTCCTAGCGCCAGCTCGGCACATGCAGGGCTTGGCTGCCAGCGGCGCCATTGGCGCCTCCCGCGCCGCCCTCCCCGCCTCTGCCTCCCCGCTCTCCCCGGCCGTGCCAGGGTGGTGCATCCTGGTGCTGCTGCGCCGCAGCGCCGCCGCCCCTACCGATCGTCTGCGACAAGGCGGGTTCAGTACCTGCGCGCTGAGGCCCGAGTCAGAAACCAGGCGAAGTCTGGCAAACCCGTGGCTGCTAAAACGGAGCTCCGGGATTGCTTGCTTCCGGGAAGCAGCCCGTTTATCATTTAGTGCGCTGAGTTTTGTTCCGCGAGTTTGTTTCTTTCTTCCAGGAAGACCGCTTTAGCAGCCACGGATTTGCCAGACTTCGCCCAGCTTCCGAGGAGTCACGGCGCACTTGCTGCGTGCTTTGGGCGCCCTGCCCGAGCGCCGCGGCGTGCCGCCTCCGCGCCTCGCGGGCACTCTGGCTGCCGCGCTGCCGCCGCATGCCGCTACGCCCGCCGAGGCTTACCGTGCTGCCTAGGGCGGCGTTCTTGCTGCTGCTGCTGCTGCTGCTGCTGGACATGGCTCTCCAGGTGCTCCTCAAGGCTCCTGCGTGTGGCGTTCCGGATCGTTCGGTTATTCTGGCGTCTCGTCCCTCGATGGTCAAGGGCACGGGCAAGGACACGGACACGAGCACGGGCAATAATAATGAGAACGTGCTACGGTTGTGCGTCCCCGTGGTTCGGCCACTGCGTCTGCCTCTGCTCGGCCTGACCGTGCAGAGCGCTGTACCGCTGGTCCCCGATCTGATCGTGGGCACCTTTTGTGTTCTCTGGGTCCTGGCACCTGGCACCTGCACGTGCCAGGGCAAGAACAAGGACAAGAGTAAGAACACGAACAACGGAAAGGGCAGTTTCGCCGACTGGCCTCCCGATGTGCCACCTGAGCATTTTGTGTTCGCATGCGCCAGTTCGGCGCCCAGTTTTGCGAGGCGCACGGCGGCGCGCTGCTCAAGAATACTTTCAAGGGGTGCAGGTAGGGTGCGCGGCCCCTCCTCCTCCTCCTCCTCCTCCTCCTCCTCCTCTTCCTCCTCCTCCTCCTCCTCCTCCTCCTCCTCCTCCTCCTCCTCAAGTGGTGTTTTGGAAGGGTTCAGGATTTTGCGGGTGCAACAGTTATGTGGTTGACTCCTGAGTTTGCACTGGTCCTTCTCCTCCTCGCCTCCGCAGGCCGCGGCGAGGCGCTGGAGCAAGCGCTTCGCGGGGCGCTTTGGCGGGTTGCTCTGACAGGCTGGCGTGCGGTGCGGGTCTGGGTGGGCTCCTCCCCGCCCTGGCCTGCCACGCTCGCTGCCCCGAGTGTGGCAGGACGGGTCGGGGGTCTACTTCCGCTCCTGTCGCTGGCTTGCTTCAGCCTGGCAGAAGAAGTGTCCAGTGCAATCCAATCCTCCTCGTCCTCCCCTAACCCCCCGCCCCCCCCTCTACGTTTTCCATTCCTGTGTCCCTTTATCCTTACAACTCATTCCTCCCTGTCGCACCCCCAGGCGTGTCAGTAGGGCGGGCGGGACGTTGTTTGTTGAGACCTCCCCACCACTTCTGATCCTGAAGAGTGACAATTGCAACTGTTACAAGGATGGGCGCGGCATGGTTTTCAAGACATGGCTCTCGTTGCAGTGCCGCGCGCAATCGTCATGGATGGCGGGCGGCGGCTGATTTTAAACATGTCGTTTTCGTTGCAGCGCCACGCACGTTCGTTTCAGGAATGGTTGAAGTCTCCGGAGCACGGTTTAGATTTGATAGGACGCAGCGGTCACGATGATTCGCGGCGCTGCAGTCCCAAACGTAGTGTATTGATAGGACTGAGGGCTGCCAGTAAGCAGAGATCATGTGGATCCGCGGCGCTACAATTCCAGGAATGGTATTTGGGCTCAGCTGCGGATTCCCAGGCAGTTGTCTTTCAATGGGGCACTCTCCGCCATAAGAACTGCTTACTGTAGGGATATGTGAAGAAGGAGCCTGGAACGCGGCTGAGTTGCAACATCGTTGATGCGCTTTGGGTTCACACAGGTCCCCCTCCTTTTCGCTCCTCCTCCCCACCTTCCTCCGTATAGGGGCTGAGGGGATGCCGCGGGTGCAACCATGGCGAGGATGTCAAACGTCTCCGCTGATGACTTCTTATGCCCATAACGTGTACTTATTTCCCTCACACAAAGCCCACTCCACGTGGGCGGCTTCAGTCCGCATGGCGTCTTCAGCGCAGTGCACACCCCAGCATCGATGCCCTCTCGGCGTCCTTCCGCGGAGCTCCGAGCTCCGGGTTCGGAGCTCCTCTGGCCTCTTTCGCCGCCGCCGCCGTTCCCCGCCTCCTCTTGCTCCTGTTTTTTTCTCCGCTCCCTGCGCATGCCGTGCGTCCGTGCGCCCGGTTGCAGCGCGCGTCCAGCTCGCGCCCGGCAGGCCCCCGCGGCCCCGCCCCCCTCCGCGACTCCGCCACTTCCCTCGCGCGGGCGCGGTTTTGGGGGGAGGGGGGGGGCGGCAAGGCAAAGTACCCAGTGGACGTGTGGCATCCAGCAGGGAGGAAGTACTTTTCGACGCGCAGCTGGTGCGAGCTTGCGATGCGGATCGCGAAGGACGACCTGGAGAACCTGAAGAGCGTCAAGGAGGCACCCACGAGGGAGCTGAACAAGTCAGAGAAGCTCGAGCAGAAAGAGGCCGAGAGGCTCAAGCGACGTCAGAAGCTCCGCGAAAGCACAGGCACCCCGCTGGACGGCACCGAGATTCTCGAGATGTACGCCGAGTCAACTGAAGCGGATAGCTCCAGCG